TTTAATTCACTAACGAATGAATATTTCAGCCGCAGTAAAGAATCAACGTTGGCGGATTTTGGTTCTTGACATCCTTTACGATCGGTTACGATGCCTAGAATACGGAGACCTGTACGATTTCGTCAACTTAGTGAGTTTGATAGGGGCCGTATAGTGGGACTTCGAGAAGCTGGACTTTCTTTTCGGGCAATTGCATTTAGAGTGCAAAGAAGTGTAGACACTGAGGTTAGGTGTTGTCAGGCATGGTTTCGAGAAGGCCGTACGCAACGAGCAAGGGGCACTGGACGCCGCCGTAGAACAACAGACCGTGAAGATCGCCGCCTAAGATTATTGGCCTTAAGGGACCGTTTCTCCACTACCAGGTCCATTGCAAATGAATGGTTTGCAGAACACGGAAGACCTATTTGCATGCGAATTGTTTACCGACGAATGAGAAGTTTTGGCTTGTTCTCATACCGGCCACACTGGGTCCTCCCTTTAACTCGAGAACACCGACGTAATCGCCTTGAGTGGTGCAGACAACGGTCACTCTGGGATCAGGAATGGAACAGTATTGTCTTTAGTGACGAGTCTCGATTTTGTTTAGGCATGCACGATGGTCGTGCCAGGGTTAGAAGGCGACTTGGTGAAAGGAGTAATCCACAGTTTTTTGTTGAAAAACATGTTCATCACACTGTTGGAGTTATGGTTTGGGGTGTTATAGCTTATGGTTCCAGGTCACCTTTAATCTTCATCAGAGGTAACATGAACGCGCAGCGTTATATCCACGAAGTTCTAGAACCCCATCTTTTACCCTATCTTGACACCCTGTCAGATCCAACTTTCCAACAAGATAATGCCCGACCACATGTTGCAAGAGTCACAGTAGACTTCTTTCAACATAATGATGTCACATTGTTACCATGGCCACCAAGATCTCCCGACTTATCCCCAATTGAGCACGTGTGCGATATGATGGGTAGGAGATTGCTCAATTTGCAACGTCCTCCTCAGACTCTAGAAGCACTTCGAGAGGAGTTGGTGGTTGCCTGGAATGAGATACCACAGGAGGACATTGACCACCTGATCAGAAGCATGCCTAGGTGCGTTGGAGAATGCGTAGCACATCAGGGTGCATCCACACATTATTAAAGGTCAAAGGGCTTTAAAGCAATGCAATCATTTTGAAATTTTTATCATTTACTTATTATGCTTCATTAAGTACTTATACAAAATTTTATTAAAATAAAACCATTTAAACTAGGTGTTCGGATTTATATGTCACTTAGTATAGTTCCTCTTCGGTAACCGTATACAAATAAACCGAATCACCTTTAAATAAATCAAAGATCAATATAACGTAGAAATACGGCATCGTACAAAAGAATTAATAACCCTTATATCATTGATCATCTGTCTTTCCGAAAATCTCGCTCGTGGTAAAAAAAATGTTAATAACATCTCGGACAGAGTGTACGGCGGCGGATTTGTGACGTCACCGGTCTATCCGTTCGTCTCTTCGATCATCAATCAATACCGCAAGTCAGATCATCAATAACACTAATAGTCCGGTCTTGTGAATTTAAAATGGCTTTTATGTATGAACAATGCATCCTATTATGGCTAGCCTATACGGACCCTCGCATTGTGCCACAATTAATTATGTCTGAATGTAATCTGAAATTGAAAATGTAAGCTTTATTAGATGGTTGTTGGGTTCGCATCTGGACAGACGAATGGCCACTGAGGAATACAAGTGTTCGAATGTTTTGGTTTTTTCTTAGAACGTGGTTATTAATAGTGGATGTTGACCTGGTCATAGCTTTACATAATAGCTATACATCGATTCTTATACATATTTGGGCTTGACCATTAAGAACATGTTTTCGGTCTAAGCGTCATGTACTATAGTCACTTCTGATTCTTTGCATTAACTTGATCAACCAACAAGTACATACATTAAAAACGCAACCTTGTGGACGCACACATCATAGACAAACACAACAAGTAGAAACCTAAATAAAACCTGTACAAGTATTATCTTTCAAAACTACATTTAGGGCCGATTTCACCAACATTAATATTATGGACCAATGGCAAAATACCTTATTGAAATGCAATTTGACAGAAGCTGTCAAAGGTCTCTGAATATCAGTGATTTCTATTGAAATATTGAATGAAATCGTGAAAATTCGACTGTATTTTAAACAAGACCACTTTTTGGTTCCAACATGATGCTTTTGTACAGAAAAAACAGGACAACTTTCATGTATTTAGATGTATGTTATAGGTTTACAATTAACAATCAGTTATCCGCTTCAGCGAATGGGAATGCTGCAAATAATAGGTCGATTTTCTAGCTGTTAAATTTGCCAGTAGATTTGGACGTTTGTTAATGCATGGCACTCTCGAATTTACCAACTACAATATAATGAAAGTTATCATTACATACCTGTTGAATAGTGTGGATTTGTCTATATTTTGCAAGAAAATAGAATATAAAATACATTCCATCCAATTCCTCATCTTCCTTTACATCATAATAGTAATCATTTATTAATTCATGGGTTAATGAATTTCTTCAAAGCAATACAAACATTATGTCCTCTCCATCCTAAAACACAGATAATATGTGTAAGACGTGTCAATCCCTACAGCTCCCTGATGCATAATGCAATTACTATGGACATAGACAAAAAATTATGAAAAATGTTTCACAAATAATGTCTGTTAAGTCCAAAAAACCATAAAAACTAGTAATGTTTTTCTTTAGACTTGCGGGGATATCTATCTGTCACCCGCTGGGTTGCCAAGTCTAACGACGATCACGTCCCGTGGTGGAGGGTGCGAAATGAATCTTTTACATTTGCTGGTTTTGAATTTTTTTCGTGAAAATTTACTAGGAATCATGATTATAAGCATCTTTGGTAGATTTTTCTATCCGGAATGGGAAAGATCTCCTATTTATGAAAATATCTTTGGTATCGTCTAACCCTTGCAATCAGCGCACAAACACTGTGACATATGATTTATGGCATAACCCGCTGCCCTATCAATACAAATTTAACATACAGGTCGCCTAACCGTGGGGATGCAGTGGTCGGAATGAATATCCCGACAGCAACTGATGATTTGCACAATCTGGCAACCCTGTCGCACCCTCACAAAATGGCCGCTGATAACCACACAAGTCACCGTGTTGTCATTGAATAGCATGGAATTAAACCTTCAGAGTATATGTTTTGTGACTGGTACCAAGAGTTGACACATCCTACACAAGTGTCACTCCTTGAAATGCAATAATCAGCTGTATTCAAGTAATATCTAATATAAATATAACCTAGAATGTGTACTCGTGAAAAAAGAAAAATATGGCAAATTTGTAGTTTTTTTGCAGGTTTTGGGTTTGCTGGTAGCTTTAAGGCATATATTTGGGAATATCTTAATCGCTGTGAATATAGTGTGGATGTTTGTTCAGTTCCTGAACAATGAAAAATATTCAACTTTATGAATGTATGGATATCAAATACCTGAGTGGTTTTGTGGGAATATCAATCTAAGGTGCCATAATGGTTCTGATGAATGGCAAGTAAATAATGAATGTTTGGAAACGAGCAATATCTTTGGTAGAGCCTGTCATCAAGTAGGTGCTTAATGGCTATCTGCAAGAGGTTTATAGGAAGAAATACCCAGTATCACATATTAATTGAGGAAAATAATATAAACATGAATAAAAAATCAACAATAGTAATTAAAACATGAATTTAATTCAAAAATCAAACATTTCTTAAAATTTTGACTGAATTATATGTAATTTAATTAATGTATATCACCCAAATCGATAGATTCGAAATTAAACAAAAATTGTCTTTGAATAAAACAAATCATTTTAAATTTGTCCAAAAGCAGTTCATACTTTTGGTCCTCAGACCTTTAAAAATATTCCCACTATGATATCGGGCTTAAAAAATTAACAACATCACGTTAGGGTTAGCCTATCCCAGACAATTTCAACGGCTTCAATGTTTTTTACAGAAACCATCATAAGAGGAATAAAATGGTTAAGATTACCAAAAATCCAGCGAATTATGCAGTGCTGTTCAAAAGAAAACAAACTATCGACGTCATTTCTTTAAGAAATGCCCAAGAACACTTTATATTGTAAAGAAAACACCGTTTTTACTTAGAGATACTCCAGCGTTTTCCAAGCTGAGTTGACAACCTTCATGGAAGTGGCCCAGATGGCAGTAGATTCATGTCAATGGCGCAGAACGCTCTCGAAAGCGACCTGGAAGCTCCTCAGTCAGGCCGCAATCGCTCACGCACAGTCGCGTAATTCTGGTTGCCTAAGCGTCGAATTTTCTGGACACCTGTCATATCTTCTGGTCCATGTATCAGCTTGTCTCGCTAGTACCCAGAGCTCCAGTTATATGAGCGCGTTGCAATATGAATCTGTCACACATTTTTTTTTTGTTCTATATGAATTCGAGAGGTTGATCACATATTGTTTTAAGTAGATAAATCTATTAAGATACAATACATAAAATGCAACCGAATTCTTCTCTTTTTACAAATAAGGTTAAAAGGATTGTAAGATATAGGTATGGAACAGATACATACCTATTATAGCAGTGGAAAACAGAAGCATTTTCTATAAGAATTAATTTCAAAGGCTGAATAACTCATATTTGAAACTTGAGAACCACTGACATTTGATTAGAATTTATGTCGTACTTTATTAGGCAAATGAGTATAGGGCGTTCCCTCGGGGTCCGTAACCATTTACCGTCAGTCCTTACCTGGCATCCTCCAGTTTACCAGTCTACAAAATGACCGAAATCACCTATGTCATGATGGAACAACTTCTTATCTCAACGTCACATCAAAACATCCTCGACCATACTCGATTAGTGCAGTAGTTTTAGTAATTCTGAGATAAAATAATACTTTAAGTAGGTGAACCTTCGGGTAACAGCATTAAAATGACAATACCAAATTTGGATAAACTGCTTGATAATTACTTTTTCATATGGTGGGGGCTTTATTATTTTTGAGAATCGGCACAGCATGGGCGACCGATCTTGATCGAGAGCCATGCTTTGGATCATAACAATACAACAGAGATTAAAAATCGGATGGTGTGTATGTTGATATTGATCTTCTCCATAATATTTGGGTATGGTCGGTTGAATGCAAAATTTGCTAGTCATGGGTACACTTATGATGATATTAAAATAATTTTATATACAGAATAAATGGCTAGGCTTTCAAATGCACCTGGAATACTAAAAATAAAATAAGTTGTGAACTAGAGCTTTAGAAAGACCTTTCTGGACTCTTTATGAGCAAAACTGTAAATAAAAAATAAACAGTGAAAGCCCCATATACTTGTGCCTATATACAGGGTGTCCGAAAAAGATAGGACTTTTCTTTACACGACGTATAGGTCATTGAAAAATATGCGGTTTTTCTAGAAGCAGATTCACTACAGTCTTAAGACAACCAAGATATCAGGCACCGCAAAGTCACTCAAACCAATCCTAATCCGCTTTTGTATCTCGATCAGATCAAAAGTAACAAGAGCAAAGGCGTCGGCAACGTAGGTAACCAAAACATTCATTTACCAATCGATACGAAAAATATCAGAATGGCATACTCGTAAAGCAATATCGAACAGCATCTTCAAAATGCTACCGAGGCTTCACGTAGATCGCTTTCCTAGGCGTTATCATTCAAGGCCACATAAATTCGTTTACCTTATCAGGTCGTTTTGAAGAAATATCGAGGTGGTCTGAGCTGAAGACCTAAACAACGCCGAATGGTGCAAATTAAGGAATGAGTATTGAAGCTTGTAGAAGAAAATCCAGCACTAGCGAAGTGGCCAGACAAGTGCAAGTCCCCAAGACTAAAGTGAATACGCTGCGTAATGATTGATTGTATCCTTTTGTGCAAGTCCTCCAAGCTGAGGGTTCCTGCAAGAGTGCACCTTTGTGAGTGGTTGACGAATGACTTCCAAATACTTATATGTATTTATTGTAAAATCGTCAAGTAGTCCATCGGTCACATTTTCAACAAACAGTTTGAATATTTGGGCTGGCATCCTAAATGGCATGCTCTTTGGACCTTATATACTAAGTGACATATAAATATAAATGATAAAAATTTCAAAATGATTGCACTGCTTTAAAGCCCTTTGACCTTTAATAATGGGAGGATGCACCCTGATGTGATACGCATTCTCCAACGCGCCTAGGCATGCTTCTGATCAGGTGGTCAATGTCCTCCTGTGGTATCTCATTCCAGGCAAAAACCAACTCCTATCGAAGTGCTTCTAGAGTCTGAGGAGGACGTTGCAAATTGAGCAATCTCCTACCCATCATATCCCACACGTGCTCAATTGGGGATAAGTCGGGAGATCTTGGTGGCCATGGTAACAATGTGACATCATTATGTTGAAAGAAGTATATTGTGACTCTTGGTAAACACTTCGCATGCCAATAGGTCTTCCATGTTCTGCAAACCATTCATTTGCAATGGACCTGGTAGTGGAGAAACGGTCCCTTAAGGCCAATAATCTTAGGCGGCGATCTTCACGGTCTGTTGTTCTACGGCGGCGTCCAGTGCCCGTTGCTCTTTGCGTACGGCCTTCTCGAAGCCATGCCTGACAACACCTAACCACAGTGTCTACACATCTTTGCACTCTAACTGCAATTGCCCGAAAAGAAAGTCCAGCTTCCCGAAGTCCCACTATACGGCCCCTATCAAACTCACTAAGTTGACGAAATCGTACAGGTCTCCGTACTCTAGGCATCGTAACCGATCGTAAAGGATGTCAAGAACCAAAATCCGCCAACGTTGATTCTTTACTTCGGCTGAAATATTCATTTTTAGAGCGTTAGTGAATTAAAAAAAGCAATATAAAAACCGGAATGTCCAACTGATAAGGCTGAAAATGTTTTCACTTGTTATTTAAAGTAAGATAAATACATTCACCAACTTTTATTAAAATAAAACCATTTAAACTGGGTGTTCGGATTTATATGTCACTTAGTATATTTTTTCAAATCGGATGAAGCGTTTACGATTTCTAGACTTTATACGAATCATTTTACCAAGGTCGAGAACTTCTAACAGTACTTATAAGTGACAGAGCCGTACTTGAAATTTCTTCGCAAATGAACGGTGAGTACTTTTTCATTTATTTTCTTTTACCTTCTGCTACTGTTTCAAGCGTACTTTTTTCTGAAGAGTAAAGTCCCTAATTTCGGGACACCCTGTATAACCATAGCGACATTAATTTGTCATTTGCACGCGTAAAACGTCGCTTCCCTTCGCGTCGCTTCCATGCGAGGACTCTCATTTGATCGAGTGTAAATTAACCGACTAGAAGAATTTCGCTTCTCTTCTCATAGCTTCTTTCGTGCACTTTTAACTCATTTAAATCACCAGAGTCGGACTCGTCATAATTCAATGTTGCTATTTTTACAGCGTGTATTATTAAAAAGCTTAAAACTAGTTTATTGGAAAGCCTATATCACTTTAGATATAGTATACTATTGTCACGTCAGGTACCAATGTTTCTGTCAATCCGTGATTTTACATTTTGGTACTTGAGCTTGTGTCCCAAGAGTTCACGTGATATGACAATGTCTTTCAGCCTTTATGCTCTAGTCTCCTCTCTCCACGTTGACTGATCTATATTATCTGGAATACTAAAAGATGCGTGAGGGGTGTTCGTCGTATGGTTTACGGTTTTCATATTTCACCGTGTCCATTTTTTGTGCCTTTGTGTTTTGAATAATCTTATATTTGGAAAAATGCTGAAGGGGCTGGGTTTGTTTCTCGATATATGGATGCGCATAAATTACCCGAGACGTTTGTGTCCAGATTATATGGGTCCTACATGGGCCCAAATTGATTCATTAGATATTCCATTGTAAATTTTCTTGTTTTATATGCTGTAGAGGTCATAAACCAAAAAATATTGTATTAGGCTTCAAAGCAGCTATGCGTTTAATTTATGAAAAATTGTAGTCGTGGAAGTTACATATCTGTAATTTATTCAAGGTGGCAAATTATACTAAGTGACATATAAATCCGAACACCCAGTTTAAATGGTTTTATTTTAATAAAATTTTGTATAAGTACTTAGTGAAGCATAATAAGTAAATGATAAAAATTTCAAAATGATTGCACTGCTTTAATGCCCTTTGACCTTTAATAATGTGTGGATGCACCCTGATGTGCTACGCATTCTCCAACGCGCCTCGGCGTGCTTCTGATCAGGTTGTCAATGTCCTCCTGTGGTATCTCATTCCAGGCAACCACCAACTCCTCTCGAAGTGCTTCTAGAGTCTGAGGAGGACGTTGCAAATTGAGCAATCTCCTACCCATCATATCCCACACGTGCTCAATTGGGGATAAGTCGGGAGATCTTGGTGGCCATGGTAACAATGTGACATCATTATGTTGAAAGAAGTCTATTGTGACTCTTGCAACATGTGGTCGGGCATTATCTTGTTGGAAAGTTGGATCTGGCAGGGTGTCAAGATAGGGTAAAAGATGGGGTTCTAGAACTTCGTGGATATAACGCTGCGCGTTCATGTTATCTCTGATGAAGATTAAAGGTGACCTGGAACCATATGCTATAGCACCCCAAACCATAACTCCAACAGTGTGATGAACATGTCTTTCAACAAAAAACTGTGGATTCCTCCTTTCACCACGTCGCCTTCTAACCCTGGCACGACCATCGTGCATGCCTAAACAAAATCGAGACTCGTCACTAAAGACAATACTGTTCCATTCCTGATCCCAGAGTGACCGTTGTCTGCACCACTCAAGGCGATTACGTCGGTGTTCTAGAGTTAAAGGGAGGACCCAGTGTGGCCGGTATGAAAACAAGCCAAAACTTCTCATTCGTCGGTAAACACTTCGCATGCCAATAGGTCTTCCGTGTTCTGCAAACCATTCATTCGCAATGGACCTGGTAGTGGAGAAACGGTCCCTTAAGGCCAATAATCTTAGGCGGCGATCTTCACAGTCTGTTGTTCTACGGCGGCGTCCAGTGCCCCTTGCTGTTTATGTACGGCCTTCTCGAAGCCATGCCTGACAACACCTAACCACAGTGTCTACACTTCTTTGCACTCTAACTGCAATTGCCCGAAAGAAAGTCCAGCTTCCCGAAGTCCCACTATACGGCCCCTATCAAACTCACTAAGTTGACGAAATCGTACAGGTCTCCATACTCTAGGCATCGTAACCGATCATAAAAGATGTCAAGAACCAAAATCCGCCAGCGTTGATTCTTTACTGCGGCTGAAATATTCATTTTTAGAGCGTTAGTGAATTAAAAAAAAAGCAGTATAAAAACCGGAATGTCCAACTGATAAGGCTGAAAATTTTTTCACTTGTTATTTACAGTAAGATAAATATATTCACCAACTTTAATTAAAATAAAACCATTTAAACTGGGTGTTCGGATTTATATGTCACTTAGTATATTAGAAATCATTCGGTCTGCTCAATTTTACAACGGTCCAGCCTTAACACATTGATTCTAACTTATTTACAAGTATGCTATTTTCAGAAAGCCCTTATGCTGAAAATGATGCATTAATGTTTAAAATCGATAGTCATTTCTAAAAAAAAATGAATCATGACTTTGTTATATGGTATTTCAACAAATAAATAACACGATAGCTGAAATTTGACAACTCTCGAGGTTTCCATTTGTTCTGTTCAGTCACGCAGAATCTAAAGAGCTGGGCGTTTCCCTCATCCTGAACGTAAACAACAATTAGCAACATCCTCACATACTACTGTAAGTTAAGTCAATTTAAATTCATTTTACACTATTGTTGCTACTGTTATCGATGTAATTGCAGCTCCTGATGATGATGGCAAAGTCCATTGAAAGCTAGAGAGAATTAAAAAAAGTATAAAGAGTCCTCTTTGCTTAAATTTTGTCGAAGTACCCAACAAAAGGCGGAAGCTTTAATTTTTCACCTAACTGGTCTAGACGACAATGACCACGTCTCAAATATATATATAGAAATTCTGATTATGCCTTCTTGTAGAGGAGAAAACGTGGCAC